AGCTTTAAGAGTGAGTATCTAAAGGGTAAAACTTTTAACTTTTCAAAGGTTTGAGATAACTAGGAAAATTTTATCTGAAGCTTTTGTGTGTTAATTAGATTATTGATTAATAATTGACCATTGAAATGTATAAAGTGAAATGAAATGCAAGTATGGCATGAATTACTTAAGAATCCACTAGGTTGATTTTTGTGAGTCTTATGACTTGTTATGTGAAATTCTTTGAAAATAATATTGGTGGATTTTTGTATTGTGATTTATTAGGATTCAATGATTTTGTGATTAGTGAAGTATAATGATTTCTTGTAATGAAGTTTTATAAGTATATGTGTTGATAAAGAGTTCAATAATATATAAAATAGTAGAGTTTAATGACTGTGAATGAGTGAGATATAATGATTGTGAAAATATAGAGTTCAATAACTTGGTTTATTTAGAATTCAACGATGTGAATTATAATAGAGTACAATGACTATGTACTTAAGGAGTTTAATGACATATGTGTTATGGAATTTCATAATGTGTTTTAAATGTGAATTATTGCATGAATATGTATCGCATGATCTTGAGAGGTGGGAGTTCACCTAGGTAGAGGAGTAAAAAATTAAATCCATATGGTAAGGCTTTTATCCAAATTGATGGCTTGCCTGGATTGATTACATTCGTATTGTCTTACTTGTTCAACAAGGGATTGTCTCACTAGTTTAACGAGAGACTCACACTAGCTAGCTATTCACTGATTTAATAAGAAAGCTAGTTTAAGGAGTATGACATCTCATAGTGTGAAAAAATGAGAGAAATCATGTTGCACAAGTAAGTTGGGTAAACCTTGGCCAGGTAATCCTTTCACAAGTGTTTACACTAGGGAAGTCCCAGATTATAGGCTATCCTAGTATATGAAAGCCCATGATTTTTTGTTAGAGGAATAAGGAGGATATAAAGAAGATGTGATCATGCATATAGTGAAAAAAGACACATGATTGTCTGTATTGTGACTCTAATGCTAAAAATGATGAATTGAGTCTTAATCCCTTTTGAGTATATGCCATTTCATTGTACTTACCACTTACATTTAAATTAATTAACATACACTAGTATGAGTTAGTTAGACCTTGGTTACTACGTGATTGTACTCACTCAATTATTTTTAATATTATAGGAAATAACTCAAGAAGATTGAATATAAGAAGGTAACTAGAGGCTTAGGACTGCGATCCTATTTAGTAGGCCTATTTATTTTTTAGCCTTTATGTGTATGTGACAATTGAAATTGCCAACTAGAAATAGTCTATTTTTTATTTTTACTTGCATTATGTGTCTTGTGGAGTGAGTTTTGGGCCTTAGGGAGTGAGTTTATGAAATGTGATATCTGTAATAGGGCCAAAATATTAATGCAAGTGAGAGTTAGGGCATATTGTGTCATGATTATGAATTATTTGATGGAAAGGGTGCTTGAACTCCCCTTTTTGTGTTTTTGAATTAAGGGGTTGAGTATTAGAATTGTGAATTGTAAGTGTTTGATATGATGTGGTACGTTGCATAAGTGAGTTTTGGTATATTGCATGTAGTCTTAGTAATGTTAATATCTATTGGCTTTTGGTGAACGAGTTAGATACTTAGTTTTGAGAAAAATATTGAAAACTATAATTTTTAAAAAGAGCGTTCAAATTTTAATTGTGCAATAATTTGATTATGAGACCATAATCATTAGTTAGAGCTTGGAAAAATCTTTTCACAAACATCTTGTTTGCGTCAATCGAACGTCAAACGAAGAAATGGAACACATCACAAGCTACTCCAAAAGCTGTCAAATTGACAGTAGAGTTACTATCATAGATCGTGCTGTGTGCCACTGCACATGGTGCCACAAGCTGTGGCATATGACACAGAGGCAAACACACCGCGACATATGTTTAATAAGCCGTGGCGCACACCCTAATTTTTGCAAAATTATTTTATGTTTTGCTTCCTTAGCTAATGCATTAATATTTGAAATGATCTCATACTTCCACATAATTTGTAAACTTTGATTTGTTTCTTTTAAATATCATTGGTAATGGTTTTAGTTTTGAAAACTTTGGATCCTAACTTTTCAACCTATTTATAAACATGGCATTATGTTATTTACCTTAATACAATCTCTTAATTAATTGAGATTTAGAGTTAATCAAGATTAATAGAAGGAGGATATTACAATTTTCAACAAATCGTGTCATGAGGCATGTTCAAATCCAATCAAGCATGTTGACAATTGGAAGTTCTCTTGCCTCCCATTTGCATGCTAACAATTAGATCTAATTAAGCACGTTGACAATTTCTTGTTGAATGACTTTGAAATATTGCAGGTGATTACATCCCAATTGTAGTATTCTTCAAAATGAGACTTGGTACAACAATTAGGAAGAAATCCTATCAAATGATCATAGGCTTTTTTCAAAACTGCTTTCAACTCATCCATTTGTTGTTTCCATTTCACCTTATATGTGTCTTTCAAAGCACGAAGGACTAAATCACAATCTCCGATTCCTCCTCCATATTTTGTCTTGATATTCGCATATAAATGGCTTACACAAAAGCAATGCTCAACACCTTCAAGTAACTCTTTAAAAGCAAGAACTAGGCCTGCACATAATTGACAATCAACAATGATAACAAGACAATAATATGACAGAAAAATAGCTATTGCTTAAGCGATACATGATAGTGCAACCACTGTTATTCCCAATGTTGTGGGAAGTCATTTAAAACTTGAAATAAATTAGACTTTCGTTTATATAACACAACAGATTCCAACCTTCATTTTTGTTGGCATACCGAGCCTTTCAAAACCTTAGCTATAGCTTCTAGTGCTAAACTTTTTAAAACCACAAAAAGCATTGCCAAGTACTTGCTTGATATCATTAAAACCTTAATGTTTGATATAGCAAGAATATTGTGGTATTAAAAATTCCAATTGACCATGTCTGGCATGTATAAAATAGCAAGCAAATGCTAGTTTTTTTAACAATAAAGCATCAAATTCATTAAAAAAACTGTCAATGTCTCCTAAAAATGTATAGATCAATGTTGCAAACAAAGCAAAGTATAAGAACTTGAAACACTAAAAAAGTACAAGAATCTATGCCAAAACTTAGGTAAAGTATAGGGACTAAAAATTGTATTTTCCAAAAAAAAAGGAGAATCACATATAAGGGCCTAGGAAAGATAGATAAGAATCAATAACAAGTCCTATTCAGAAAAAAAAGTCACATTTTCATTTTAATAACAATTCATTTTGCATTGATTCGTATCTTTGAATAATTGTCTTTCTTGATCCTTAGATGTGGTTCTCCCAAAAAATAATGACATGAAGATGAGTATTACAATTACTAGAGTATACTCTCTTCATTCAAAATGTAAAACATTTTTAACTAAATCTCAACCCTAATAAAATAGTTAATAGTCTTCAAAGTAGCAGCATCTTTTCATATTTATTTTTATTTAGTTTAATATAATATTTTATTTTAAAATAAATATAAAGTGATTTATTTATCATGAGCACTTTTAAAAAAACATTAATTACACGTTAAAATGCTAAAAATGTATTATATTTTTAAACATTTAATCTTTTAAATAATGCCTTACACTTTTGAACCGAGAGAGTAGAAACTTCATTATAAATTTTTAAGAGAATAAATAAATAAATAAAAGTTAAATTAAACTAGGGCGAAAATCTAAGTAATTTAATAAAAAATTAATAATTAACAATTAGGATGCATATAACAAGAATAATTATTCTTATCATAGTAATGTGTTAGACATATTACAAATGACGTGGTACACCCGATCTACTATCTAAATATTTCTCTTCATTATGATATTAAAAAGCATATTTTTAATTATTTTAAGAAATTACTTTAAATAAATTTTGAAAATAATACCATGTGCTAGATGCTAGACTATAGATAATATCATAAAAATACAGAAATATATATAAATAAATTATAAAATTTTAAATTAACTAACAATAAATTATTTTTTATAAATAAAGATTCAGGTAAAATATTATAAAATCTAAAATAAGTAAATAATAATCATATTTTATTATTGTAACCAAGTTTAAAATAATATTTATTTTTTATAAAAGTTTCAAGAAATAAATATCTTTTTATAAATTTTTTTAACTATCTAAAAAAAACTTCTTTTTTAATCTTAAAGAAAGGGCTATATTTTTTAACATAGCAAAAGTGATCAAATGATTTCTATTTGGAAGAAAATTTCAATATTACACAATAAAAATATATACAAACAAATATTACAAAAAAATAAATAAAATTATATACAAGGGCTTGAATGAACTATTTTTAATAAAAGACTTTAAAAATAAAATTAGAGTGCATGAAAAAGGGAACGGAAGCTGCCTTCTTCCTATGTTCCATAAACAATGTCTTCTTGGTCATTTAAAATAAAATTATTTTTAAGTTCTTTCAACTTAAATATTAATTTGTTTATAACATTCAATTTAATTTTTCCAGAAGAGCAATACAACATATACTTAATAATTGGCATGTAGTATTACTTCAAGAAAATAATAATAATAATTGGCATGTAGTATTAGTTAGCCCAAAAAACATTGTAAGTTAATTGCAACGCGTTCTCCATCTCATGACCTATTGATTGACCAAAAAATTCTCATGATCTATTGATGAAATCATATCTTCTATCATAATATTTCATCGACTTCATGTATAAATTATTTTTAACATATTTTATTGTATTAAAAAATTATAATAAAAGTTAATAAATTGCTTTATAAGTAGAATAAAAAAAATTCCTCTCTATCTTGTAAATAAAGCTGGGAAATTATTCATGAAGATTTGTATAATTTAATTATATCCGAGTAAAATTTTGCTAAAAATAGATCGAGTTGTTTTAAAATTTTAAATGAGCTCCATGATTTGAAGTGTAAGGTGAAAATAATAATAATAATAATTGATTTAGAAAGAAAAAGAAAATCACTGTTGAAAAATACGAAAAGAAGGAGGAGGAGGATGTCATCTCCTACAGCGGTACACTCGCCCACCCCAACTCGACGACATCGTCCAATACTCACAGTCATCATCCCTCCCTCCACCATGCTGGAGAGGGTCCTCTCTCTGCGACGCACTACCCCTCACCCCGACGACTCCGTGGCCTCCGCCTCCGCCTCCACTGCCGACGACGATGACGAATCCAAGATCAGGAAGCACCACCGTTTCTTCTTGCACGCCGCGACCCGGGCCTCCAATTACCTCTCCCGATTGAGTTGTCCCGCCTCCTACTGGGTTTTCGCCATCTCGTTGCTTCTCCTTCTCTCCGTTTCCTCCTTGCTCTTTAGTTCGCGTGGCTTCGTGTGCGTGTCCTCTTCTTCCCCATTTTCTCGGGTCGGCTTCTTCGCTTCGGACGTTCTTGAATCCGATTTCGGAGCTCTTGGCGTGCCCTGGTGTAAGTGCCTGATCTAATACCTTTGTCTTTTCCCAATGTCGAGTCTTTTTTGTTTTTGAGATTTAGGTGTTCGTGTTACTGGTACTGGATTTTGGGGTACGCTTAGATCGAGGGAAAATGCTAGCTTGGGAAGTGTTTCGTTTCTTCCAGAATTAAACGAATTAATGAACTGAATGTTCATCAATTGGAAGAAGGCCGGTCTATCATTTACTCATATTTTTATTCTTGAATTCTTGGATTCGAATTAATTGTATTTACCTCCACCTCCTTGGGTTTGCCCTTTTTAACCTTTTCCTACGGCACATTTGATAGCTGATAACACGATACGAAAGTGACCTAGTTAGTACTTTTAGTTTCAAGACGACAGTAATCTGAGAATATGTTTGTTCTGTTCTGCACCTATCAAGCATTTTGTGGGCTAATTAACGTTTAAGGTACTAGTTATCAATGAGTATTTAGTAGCTTCATGCTAAATATTCTTTCTAACATTTTGAAGTCAGGAAACGTTGATTTTCCAGGGGCTTTTATTTTCCTTATTAACCCCTTTTTATTGAAAACTATAGAAGGAAAATTGAAGTTTGAGGTTGCATTTAATTGTACAAAGTCTAGATTTGGTCACCTGTGGGGATATGATATCAATTTCCGCAAGTTGGGCGGTGACAGTTCAGTTTTCTCTTATAAAACTCTTAGTTTTGTTATGTTCATGATGTTCATTTTCTTTGGGAACTTATAATCTTATCCTTGGTAAAGGCAGATCGAAACATGGTAAAACAGTTGAATGGACGTCAAAAGATCTGCTCAAGGGGTTGGAAGAATTTGTTCCTATATATGAAACGCGGCCAATAAAAAATAACTTGCATGGGATGGGTTTTGACCACAGCTTTGGGCTTTGGTTCATTGCCAGATGGCTGAAGCCTGATCTGATGATTGAGAGTGGTGCTTTCAAAGGACATTCAACTTGGGTTTTGCGTCAGGCCATGCCAGATACACCAATTATTTCACTTTCGCCCAGGCATCCAGAGAAGTATCTGAAAAAGGGACCTGCCTATGTTGATGGGAATTGCACATATTTTGCTGGAAAGGACTTTGTGGATTTTGGAAGTGTTAACTGGCTAAAAGAGATGAAAAAACATGGGATTACTGACCTGAGTCGGGTTCTTGTGTTTTTTGATGACCATCAGAATGAATTGAAAAGGTGATTATGGGATCTTTGTCAACATTTGTATGATTGTATGCATTTTTCCTTTACACGTTGAAATTGCCTTTGGTTAACTTTTTTTCTATAATATGTATTGACGAGCAGAGTTAAACAATCTCTGAAAGCTGGGTTTCTGCATCTTGTCTTTGAGGATAACTACGACACTGGAACTGGAGACCATTATTCATTAAGGCAGATATGTGATCAGTTTTATATTAGAGGTGTGTAACCTTCCACTTTTCCATGGATTTAGTATGTTGTATAATTTGTGCTACATGTTTTTGCTGTTTTCATCGGAAACATGTGTAAATCTTATGTGAAGGACTTACAACAATTCTCCTATTCCTCTAGAGATATCTACAGAATCTTGACATATCTGAAATATTTATGTTTGATTTCTCAGTGTTATTAAAGGCGCTCGCCTCAGTGCCTAAGGTGCAAAGGCGAGGCGCTGAATGTGGCCATCGCCTCTCAATGAAGAGAGGCGATGGGTTTGGTCAGGCGCTCGCCTAAGAGCGCCTTGTGCACTTTGCATGACCAAAAGGCACTCGGCTAATAGCAACCTGAAGCAGTAGAGAAGAGAAGATCGAGATCAACAAGGACTGGGTATTTGAGAAGCAAAGATGACAATTGGGACTGTGTGTTGCAGAAGAGAAGATGAGGAAGAAGGACGACGCTGGTTCGGAATAGAAGAGAAGACGATTCATCCACCGACTGGATATTGCGTGATCGATTGGGCATTGCAATCATGAGTCACAATTTTTATAAAAATGGAAGATTTATCCATGGACTCGTGACTCATAAGCGTGACTGGGCAGTGGGTATTTCAATATTTTATATCATATTTTAATAAATATGATATAAATATAGAAAGTTATTATATGATATAAAAAATAAAGAAACTTGTATCATATAAGAAAATAGGAAAGATTTTAATTTATTATAAGAAATTATTTTTGATTGAATTTTTAAATATGATAAGAGAACACAATTTCATATGAAGGTTTAAATAAATTTATATTTATCATTTTATCTATGGTTAGTTGGCTATATATGTTGCATTTTTACATGGTAACACCTTGCTTGATTCAAGCGTGCACCTTTCTAGCGCCTTGCGCCTAAAGCATTTTATAGGGTTTGTGTCTTGAGTGCGCCTTTTGCCTTTAACAACAATGTGATTTTTGGGACGGTTTGGCATAGAGCAGTAAGAGTACTAGAGGGTCTGGGGTGTTATATCAGTTGTCAGAGATATTGAAGGAGTAAAAGAGACTATGTTATGTTTGATTGTTTTGGTGGTTTGACCTAAGAGCAATAGAATGCCAGAAGAGGGACTGAGGTTTTGTATCAGCCATATTGGGGAAATAGAGACTATCAATTAAATCCAATGTGTCGAAGATGATCCCACCATAGTGGATGACAGTTCCAGCATTCAGGGGTGATCTTGACATGCGGACTTGGGCAAAGGAACAAGCAATAGGAGGCCACCACAAGCATTGCAATGGCAAGCCTGCTGAAATCAATATCATGAGGATGCTCGCAAAAGCTGACACTCAGTCGCTAACATCTGCTGGGGAACACCAGTGACAAAGTGGAGCAAATCAGTGGTGTCGTGTAGAACTCCATTTACCCATGTTAAAGAATTGGCACAGGCCCTGACATCGCAATTAGGGACATTTTCTGTAGTCAAAGCGAGTTAGTGATAACTTTAATACAAGAACCTTTCTCAATTTCTGGTGTTGGTTTGCAGAAACTTTATGCTGAATCATGTGATTTTTTTTAACAGAGAAATTTAAATATCTTCAATTTTTTTTTTGGGGGGGCGGGGTTGACTTCTAGTATCTTAGTTGATTATGCCTGGTAATTTTTCCTGTACATGAAATCGACACATTCTCATTGTTGTTGATGCAGGAGGGGGACACAGCTGCTTTAGAGACAGCGACGAAGCTAGGATGAGATCAAGGAATAAGAAGTTCTGGGAAAAAGCAGTTGATATTGAAGAACTTTGTGGGCCAGGGGAAACATGGTGGGGAGTTAGAGGGTACCTGCGTGATAACTTCAATCACAGCAATAGGCGAATGTCATATGCAGAACATTTTCAGAACAGCCGATTCGTGGAATCAGTTCTTGATGTATACTGGGAACTCCCTCCTGTTGCTGGTCCCTCCCTCACCCACCAAAGCTGGTATGATCCTGCACGCACGTCCAGTCCTATTGTTGAAGATGGACGGTTTGGCTTGTTCCAAAGACTTGGCCTTGCTAGACTTGACAGTTCTGTATTTAATGGATACACTCAAATGGTTTATATACAAATATCTGAACGATAATTTAGAGTTGCCTACACCAGAACATGAGAATTTTGTACCTGTATTTTTGTATGAATTGCCGTTTCAGCCGGATTTGGCTTGAAATATAGTTTTTCTTTTCTTTTTTATTTCATGTCTTTCTTGTGCTTGAAATTCTAGATAGCCTTCTGTCCTAACTATCAGCTGTTTCTAAAATCTTTCAGTAATTTGTTCATCTGTGAATTTATGATTGGAACGTAGTCTATAATTGTAGGTGAGCTTCAAGTGAGTGAGTGAGTGAGGTGAGATGCTATATTCCGTATCGGTCGAATTGGCAGCTTGTAGTGAGGTTTCTAGAGATGTGGTAAGAATAATATATTCATAATGATCCTTCGTCATCGTCTTAATTGACTTGAAGTTTCTGAGGAGAGAGAAAGGTGAAACCTTGATGGGTTCACTTGATTGCCCAGGACAATGCAGTTGTCTCGACTGATGTTGTTTGGTTCATATAATGGAGAGACGAGAGGGAAGAAAAGCTAAGAGTGATTGAGATAATATTGATTGTTTTTATTTTGTTATCTAATTAATTATTTAATATTATTTATTTATTTATTTTTATTGTTTTTATTATAAGAATTAGAGAATTATTAAAGTTCTCGCCTTTATTTTTTAACCTCACTATTCTTTCGTGTGGTATTAAATTTTGACTTAAATACTAGTTTCTATATGCTTGCTTTTACACGCATAATAATCCATATCATTTGTTGGGTTAAAAAAATTAAATTAGCTATTAAAAGATATTTTAATAAAATTTCAGATACACCTCACTCTATTTTTTTATTTTAAAAAATGTTTTTGATATACGTATATCTTACATTTTAAGTGATCCAAATTGGCCGGACTCTAACCGTCATCACAAGATATTCACATCTAACACCATTTCTGTTTCCATTTTCCGACCATTTCTTTTTTTTTTTCTTTGTTTTTTTTTTTTAAATGTACAAAGGCAAGCCTAAGCTTGAGGGTAATGAATGGGGTTACATAGAAGCAATGTGATCTTGTAGCCAAAAGCTAGTGCAATTTTCTCCGTTGGGAAGGACTAACTACAATATCATTCCAAAGTCCAAACACCATAATATTTACCTAAAATAATTTATCTTAGTACTTAAATTATGTATTGAAATTTAGAAAATCATGCTCAAGAATCGAAAGGATTGTTTGGATTTATGAGATTTTGGATTTAAATTTAAATCAAATCCTACATTTGCATACATAAAAGATTTTGAAATCCATATTTTATTATAATTTATTTATAGTTTTAAATTTCCTTTAAATCCTAATTATTTGAAATTCCATCTATTCTACATTTTTCGTGTTGTTTTTTTCTCTCTCCATATTTTCACTATCGGAAACTCCTTTGTTCTTGTTCTCCTCTCATCTCTCATCATTGTCACTCACCAATCTTCCATTTATGCTTTGCATCTCAGCTCATCATCACTTTTATACCTTTAAAAATTTTTACAATATCAAAATAAAAGATTTTAAATACAAGAATTTTAAATTTTAAATTTAAATTCAAATCCATTAATTCAAACGCCCCTTTGTATTATTTGAAGTCTATTGTCTTTAAGAAAATACCTATATGCAAGATGAAGATATGACCATCTATAATTCATTAATTTGATTAATAAATTTTGCTTTTTATATTGAAGTGCCCGTATATAGAAAGTTAAGAAATGATAACAAGAGGGTAAAAGGCACAACAAGCAATTCTTGTATACAGCAGCAAAAATCCAAAGATACAGCAGCAAAACCATGTGTGTATGCAGTGTATTATATATAATACGGTCTGGATTTCTCCAGTTAAATTCTACAGACAGAAATCTTGTCAGTCTATAATGCATCAAAAAACAAAAATGAAACACTGAATTACATACATATGATATGATTTGGAACAAGGTCCAAAACTCCATAAAACCTTTAATCTTTTCAAATGCTTCAATGGTTGTCCATCCCTGTTTCTGGCTTAACTGGTTTCTTCTGCACCCAGCTAGTTTTGGCTCCTGGATTTTTCCACCACCCTTGGAGCTGCAATGAACACAAATTATCTCAGTTTAACCAATCTTGCTTTACAAATATTGTAACTGTAACTTTTTTGAACATGTGCTAGAGTTATTACACATACCGAGTCCGATCGCTTCAGAACCTTTCATGATCCTTAATCTTCTACACGAGTCAGTGAACATCCTGTCACAAGAAGTTAGCAAAATCAGGCTAGAAATCATATCATCAGAATGAAATCAGAGTTTAAACCAGGTAAGTTATGCTCGAATTGAAGAATCATGAGCTCTTTCTGGTCCAAAAATCAATCTATTTGACGGATCAAATGACAGTGAATTTCCACCTGATAAGGATTTAGATTGAATGGACAAGAGGACTTACCCCAGGGAACATCACCAACAAGCATCCAATCTCCATCCTTATCTTCATAAGTAAGAACATACTCAGAACCATGGAGAAGATCCCTCAAAGAGCTCTCGCTTAGGCCGCCTTTCACAGCAAGTCCTCCAGAACTGCATTGACCTAAATTTGAGGGACAGAACATCATCAAATTCAATGTTTCTGTTTGAGATCTTGCATATAAAAGCTTTACTTTATCAATTCCTCCTATTACTAGGAACCTAGCAAAGAGTAAGCCTAAGATGTTTCACAACAGTATTAACATCTTTTTGTTTTCCTTCCTCTTCCCCACATCAGTTCAGTGGATTTGCACTTCTAATTCTGGAGGACTCTTGTGGACAATAATAGAAATTTTTTATTCTTCATTAGACAGTTAAAAGTCAAGGTAATGATGAATTAAAATGGATAGAGAAGCCATTTAAAGAAGATAAACAGCATTATGATGGTAACTGCAAAAGGTTCAAACCAGTTTCATTTTGCTTTATATGCATACACGTATATATACATGCATAGATATAGAGAGAGAGATAGTACCAATGGTAAAGCAGCTGAACATCTTCTCAAGAGCTGAAGAAAGTTCCAGATAGTTGCTGAAGGTTTTGAGATCAACCTTTCTGAGATAAGGAGCACCATCCATGCTGACCTTCACATAGAGACAGCCAAATCCAGCTTTACCCTCACCCTCATCGTTATTCTTTGTTGAATTAGAGGCCATGCTGTTCTTTCGAAAAGACCGAATTGGTGGCCATCCCACAACCTGTGCCCTGTTGCAGAAAGTTTCACATTTCATTATTTATCCTAACGATTACTAATTCTGCACAAGCCATCATCAGTGTTTGTTCAGTAAAAATGATAAGATTTAGTTTATGCCACTAAGTTTAAATCTCCATGGAAGGCTTTACTTTTAAAAGAGCATAGTAATAACATCGACTGGATAAACCAAAAATCCACAGAAAGATCTTCATATCATAATTTCCAATTATGAACCAAAAAAACAAATAAAGAAAGGACTAGAATTCAAAGAGAATAGGAATACACACAAATAACAATAAAAAAGAGGCCTTATTATGTTAACACCTAACCATAGGGGTTGCTTTCATTGAATTTTAAAAAGCCTTGAATTGATCATCATGCAGTGACCAATCTCAACCTTTCTCCTTTATACAGGACAACTAATAAGGAACTACATGCAGCAGAGACATGAAATCCATTGTTTTTGTTAGAGAAAACACATAAAATCAATAAAACATGGCATGAAGGAGTACTCTCAACACTTGTTTTCAAATGACGCTCACAGTTCCAACATATTCAATTTTTATATTTAGAAAACTACATAAGAGTCAATAATCATATTTTTAGCAGCTAATACAACAGCCTTTAACCTTCTTCCTAGGAAACAAAACCAACTGATGATGACATGAAAAAGAACAGAGAATAGGAAGCAAACTTACTTAGCAGCGGGAGGAGCACTTCCATGTTCATTTGTAGCAGCAACAGCAACCTGAGATTTCTTCTTCTCTTGAACTATTCCACCATCTCTAACGCTTTTTTGTTCAGAAGTAGTTGAAGCTTCTACAGCAACGAGAGGAGGCTTCACAACATTCCCTCCTCTGGGAGAAAACAAAGAAGCTCCTTTCCCCAAATCAGTTTCAGACCCAATTTTCTCACTCACAGAGAAACACCATTTCCCAGAAGACCCAACCCATCAATGGCGTCTGAAAAACCCTCTTAGCTCCAGCCATGTTGTTCTTCAAAGAGGAAGAACCAAACCCATTATTAGCAGTATTATCATTATTATTATGATTACTCTGCAAATCCTTGCCGAAAAGAGAAATCCCACTTCCTGATTTCCTCTCGGGAGGAGGAGAATCACTTCCAGGAAGCCCCAGTCTGAGCTCTGTCTCTTTGAAATTAAGAGAAGAGCTATTTTCCTTCTCAGTAGAAAGAGTAGATGAAGCAGCAGAAGAAGGAGATGATATTTTCTCAGAGTGTTTTTCCATGGACGGATTCTCTGATGCTGCTAAGCCTATGTAATCATGTTCCAATGGTTTAGACATGAAAATGGCGCCAGGAAAAGGATATCAGAAATTTGACACAGAAAAATGATGAACAAACAAGCGTGTCTGTGTTTATAGGTGTAAGTTAGAAGAACGAAGTAGAGAAGACAAGCCACAAAGAAGCCAATGGCTATGGCGGGTGTCTGTCACAAGCCTGAAACTCTGGTTTTTGTTGACGCAGAAAAGAACCTTCTTGGGCCTTTCTACGGCTAACTTTTCCCTTTTTAAAAAATAAGAATAAAGCAGTAATACACGTATAATAATTTGAGATGTGGCCATAATTAGTGCAGGTTGGTATTATTTTGAACAAATTACATTAAAATTTCACATAAAAAAATTATGTTGTTAATAATTTTAATTCAATTATCAATTGACCTTTTACTGGATGTAATTCTTCTTATTATTTTCTCTTATAATAAAAAAGTTTTTTTTTTATTTTCTCTATGGTTAATTGTTATACTCATATTACATTAAACAAATTTAATATGTATAACTAAAAAAAAATTAAGTCTAGTAGTATGGCAAATTAAAATTATATCATCATTCAAGAGGTGTTTATAATTAATGTTTAATTGTATATTAAACGGGGATTGATTGCAATTAAAAAAATACTTGTACACAATCAAAACAAATTTAATATATAATCAACTAGAGGTTGAATTTAACAAAAACGCTGTCCCTGTAACGTAATAATTTGAGGTACAAATTCTTATTAAAAAAGACGTCAACATATAATGTGTGATTGTGTTAGAATTGTCTCCAACAATAATATATATATATATAAGGTTAATGTGTAAAATAAATCTTAAAGTATGGCACAAAAAGTATCATGAATTCTAAACTCTTAAAATGTATAAAATAAATACTAAACTTTTAGATTCATAATAAATTAAATACTATTGTTAACTCACTATTAATATTGTTACTGTTCACTCAGTGGTCCAATTAAAATGTTGATGTGATAATCCTTTTTTTTTTGTAATGTTTACAAATGATTGGTATTTCATATTTTTATATATTTTATAACTCTAATTTAGTTTTATTTTGAATAAGATATATTTATTTAATGGTGAAAACTTAGGAGCATATTTGAAAAGAAGTTCAAAGACTATAATTAATCAGTTAATTTGGGTTTGAAATTTATTGATAAAATTGTTAGCTTTCACATCCATTGTTTGCAAAATCCTCTTATACTTAAACTTATTTTCAAATGAAATCCCAAGTTTTTATCATTATATAAATAAACATAATTCAAAATAAGGTTAAATTAGAGTTATAGAGTATATAAAAGTATAAGATACTAATCATTTGGAAAACATTATAAAAAAGGGCAAAAAATATTATTTCACAAAATTATGAGTCATTCGTCCTTGCCAACGATGCATTTACGAAGGCAAAACATGTTGAGGCTAATTTAATCTATATAACAGTCAGTGTTCTACACATTAATGATAAGGGTAATTTATTTTAAATTTCAAAGTTCTGAATACAAGATACTACTCACGTAATAATTTAAAATCTATGGTGCTAATTAAAAATGATACATTAACATTTTGACTAGGGCTCATTGAGTGAATAGTAACAGCATTAATAATAAGTTAACAATATAATTTAATTTATTATGAATTTAAAATTTTAAAATTTATTTTATGCATTTTAAAAATTTAGATTTATACTGCTCTTCGCATCATACTTTAGAGTTTATTTTGTACATTAACCCATAAATGTATACACGATCAAAACAAATTATATTATATGTATACATAAAGGTATCGGATACATAAAAAGAGCACGGGCAGGGGCACCGACAAGAGCCAGAGTATTCCCCGGCAACCTTTTACGCAGTGTTCCCACTTTTAACAATAAACAAGTTCAATACTTTAATACCGGCCGCCTAAAATGCGCCGGACCACACGGCGTAAGCTAGACAGTGGCCCTTGCACAAGTATATAGAATCCACTGTGCGAGGTTATATTATATATAGTATATTACGCCTGAAAGGGATTGAACATTACTTCACATTCATTGAATCGCTAGTAACTTGCTTACTTTTGTCACACTTCCAAAACATATATATCAATGAAATACATATGAAACTGTTACATTTGTACCTTGCATTTGACTCTTACTATTTATATATGGTTTATATATAATATTTTTAATATTTTATATTATATATAGATGTGTTGCAATATAACAAAGATTACCAACTAAGCTTTTGATAATTTTCGAGTCATTGAACCCTAAATAAAATTTAGGCATTTAACATAAAGGTCATTTCCTCTATCTCAAATTATAAGATATTTTTTTAAAAAAATTTTATCTCAAAATATAAGACACTTTAATTAGATTAAGGTTTCATTAAATGCATCAATTCTAATATTACCCTTTCTTTTTTTATAATTAATTTTTGTCTCTTTTTTTATATATATTAAATGATGAGTTTTTTTAAAGTTCATATTTTTATTTTGAAAAGATAAAATTGTTAAGTGTATTTAATGAAATTTATTGATATATAAAATTTTATTTAAAAATATTTTATAATTTAAAATAAAGAAGTATTAAAGATGGAAAAACGAGGTTGGCCAATGAGTCAAGGCTTAAAAACAAACCCGAAAACCTCATTTATAAAAAAAATCCATTAAATAAATCCGGGGCCGACGTGCAGGCTTTTAGTCTTTTTGTATATTTTCAATATTTGTTATCAAATACGTACACGAGATTAATTATATACTTTGACACTGATATGCAGCAAAAAGTCAAAAACTAATATAACTGTATTATAAACTAACAGAAAAGATATATGATAATGAAAATGAAGGATAGTAGTATATGGAAAGAAATTGAAAATGATAATGGCACGGCTCCATTATAGTGTGACTTTAGTCTTTAGCCACGCGCGTATCTGAAGGTAATGATTGTGTAATCTAACAGTGGGAAGGCGTGCGAAGACACCGTAGACTATTTTAACGGCAAGAATTCGACCACGTCACTCTACGCGGTGGTTAGGGCACAAAACGGCGTTGGGTCGTTGCCGTTGACGCGGGTAAACGCTCAACATTTCATGATTGCCTCATTCATCCTCCTACGTTAACTTCTCCACTATCCTCTTTCTAGCTCTTTTTTTAAATGAAAAAAAAATCTGCTCCATGAAGTTTAAAAATCTATAATTAAAATATTTACTCATAACATACCCTATTCAATTCATTTTATTCCCTATATCTAAAAAATCTAGAAGTATTATCATTATCCCGACTAATATAAATCCTCATTGTTTGAAATTGTTATTATCAATAATGACCTTATAAATATTTTTAAGAATACTTTTAGCATTTTATTTGACATGTCTATGTATCTTAACATTTGAGTTTGAGATTTCATGATAAGTTGATTTCATTCTATTAATTAGTTGAATGAAGTATCACTCTGCATTCTCCATATAATTCTAAATATATTTTCACCTACCTTGTGAATCTTTAAAAAAAATTTATTACATTGTTAAATTTGTCAAAAAGTATACTCTCAACATTCTTTTTATAAGATATTTCACATATTTTATAAAGATTAAGAAAAGTTTTTACATCACTTCATATAGGTTTAAAATTATCTTGGTATATATATCAGTTAAATATTTTAACCCAGGCCGCCATACGAATATTAAAACTTTAGAGGTAAACAAGGAAATTAGTTGACATTTTAACACAACACCTTATATAAGACATCATATATATATACATACTTTCTCTATTAAAAATATAAGGTATTTTTAATTAAATTTTATCCTCTAATAAAGTAGTTACTTATTTTTAAACTAATCATATTTTTCAATATTTACTCCTTTTTAACAAGATATTTTATTTTACAATAAATATAAAGTGATTTATTCAATAAGGACACTTTAAAAAAATAATAATTACATCTTGAAAGATTAAAAATATCTTATATATTGTTAATATCTAACCTTCTAAAAAAATGCCTTACATTTTTTAACAAAGAAAATGTAATTTAAGATTCTACCTTGCCATTATTATTGTATCAATTGACAGGAACAATAATTAAAAGTGTAGACTTGGATGTAAAATGGTAAATTATTACTCATGTTTAAAATATAAAATATTTTAAACCAAATTTCACCTCAATAAAACAGTTATTTATCTTTAAACTAATATTATTTTTTTATATTTACTCATATTTAATAGGGTGTTTCACTATAAAATAAATATGAATTGATTTTTTTATTAAAGGCACTTTTGGAAGAAAAAAAGGCAATAATTACATCTTAAAATATTAAAAATACTTACATTTTTTAACATTTAATTTTTTAAAAAATGCTTTATGCTTTTGAACAAATGAAGCATATGATATTACATGACATCTTATATTATGAATTTAGAAAATGTTTTAGAAAACACCTTGTAATTAGAATGAGAGGGAGTATTAAAATAATGCATTTATAACCAAACATTGTACTTGACCATTTTTCTAGAAAACACATTAACAAATTAGTTATGATTGGAATAAAGCTCAGGTATCTTTGAATTTATTAATTTAAATTTTTTTGTCATAATACGTGACAAATAATTTATTTTATTTCAACATGAATATTAATATTTATAATAGTAATGATTTATAAATTATAAATTGCAGCACTTATTTTTAAAATTCTGTATAATTTAAAAAAGCTCAATTAATTTCTTGGATAGAATTAACCATGAACTAAGCCAAAAAAAAAAATTTTATTTGTAAATCTTGTGTACTGCATAGAGTTTAGGAAATAAGTTTTGTGTGTGTGTGTGTTTTTTTTTTTTTTTTTGGCTGCACAAATAAGTTGAATTGTTCATATCTTATAAATAATATAATTTGTTAGAGTTCTTATATACGCTACATTGCTGACAGAGGCATGACTACATCCTGTATTTGACAAGTAACAAGTAGCAAAATAAATGTCTGAAAATGAAGGTGATATATATATATATATATATATATATAGATATATAGATATATACTGGCCCATTTTAGACACAACATTTAGTTTAATTGATTAAAATCCCAAATTGTTGTTTCTGCGAATTGAGGTAATAGCCTAAAACTCAGGCTTTTCTTTTTCTTGTTTTCTTTTTTTGGGCCAAGAAGAAGTCAGGCTGTTACAAGTTTGGTAATTACTTAAT